CAATATTTGCTGGGTTATAAATTTCAGCAATGCGTTGGCCTGATAAAATACCCTTCAGTTCTCAACGCGTTTAAAAGTAAATTCGAGTTGACTGCATTTGAGGTTTTTAATAGAGGGGTTGGTGGCGGTGTTGGGGGAGGGGGGGAATGGGAGGAATGTGGAGGACCCTGAGGTATTGTTAAGAGAGAGTATCAATGGTTCTCCTGCTGGGAAATAGGGGGAGGAAATCTTTTCCAGGGATTAAATACGGAACATCTGAAAATCGTATTCCAAATGAATGTGGATGATGACCGCTTGCGTGGAGGGTGACATTTCTTCGGGAGTCTGCTCTCAAAATATCTTGAGGCATCTGGAAAAGATTTGAAAGCCTCCTGAGGGAGAAAAACATTTGCGAACCACAGACACCACCACTCCCCCGCCACCCTCCCACCAAATGCCCTCCCCCCCCCCCCCCCCGAAAAAAAGGAATTGAGGGCTAGATAAAAATAACAATGTTCCGTCTTATTTCCGCTAATAATGCTGGGCTCCAGTTAAATCAAAACAGAGCGTTACGCCAGGAAAAGCGCTCTCAGACTCCGAAATGTGGGCGGAAATCTTTTTCGACTAGGGGTACAATTTTGTGGTGGGTTTTTTTTTCCCCCAGAAAAAATGTGCTTTCGTTCATTCGTTCATTCATTCGTTCGCGCATGAAAGGCTAGTGCATCGCAGAAAATACAGAGCCATTTCTTTCCAGCCGAGTAAATTCAAAACTGACGCTACTTTGGGGTTGATTCATTCATTTTCCATTAACTCCCCACATCCTCACCCCAACCCCCCCACCCACCCACTCCTGTGTCCAGCAACCAGATGATTGCTCCAGAGCTGTCACTCACACTTGTGTTGCTCAGTGTTGAGTGTCAGCAGTTACGATCGGAAGGAAGGGAAGGACGGTATCAGGTGACTTCTCGTTGCTCACTTCACACCTCCTGCTATTTTCCGTGCTGGCAGTTCTCGACCCGTGACACCTGCCAAGCTGCAGATGTGACAAGATGCCAAAGAGCCTGTATTTACATCTTATACGGTCTACTTCTCTCCCCTCCCCTCCACCCCCAGTGTGGAATCATGTCTCTCTCACGCTCGAGCCTTCCTCCTGGTCACACACTGCCTGCCTGCTCTCCATTTGAGACGGGCAAGTAAGCGAGTTTAGTCCTTAAGCTTCGCTCTATTGACTTGAGGGATTTCAGAACTCCCTGTGTTTTTGCCTCCGTGTCCCAATGGTCAGTGTGTGAAATGTATCCCGATTCCAGGAACAGGAGAAGGCCATTCAGCCCCTCAAGCCTGTTCCGCAATCTATTAGATCATGGCTGAGCTGTACCTCAACTCCAATTACCCACCTTTGCTCCGTACCCCTTGATACCTAACAAAAATCAGTCCACTTCACCTCGATCTGGAACATTTGGTTGGATCCAGCATCCACAGCCTTTTGGGGGAGAGTTCCAGATTCTCATCCGTTCCGGAAGCCGGAAGTCATCCCAGGTTGGAAACTATTCATTACCCTCTGTGTACTGCGTAGGTGGCAGCCTGGCTCAATCAGGAGCACTCTTCCCCTCTGAGGCAAAAGGTTGTGGGTTCAAGCCCCATGTCCGGACGTTCGAGCCCCACGGTCTAGGCTGACACCCTAGCGCAATAATAATATTATTACATGGCTGTTACCACAACTTCCCAGTCCTGATGTCTCTTGAGCATTGTCCCAACACGATTGCAGAGAACGTCAGCTCCAAGCAACTGCTAGGTGGCAGGTCTCAAAGCTCTGGTCAGCTTGAGAGCAGAGACACAACACGACAAGTCTTTACCTGGAAAATCTGGATCTGACTCTTCAACAAGGCAAAAGTTTTCAAAGACGTTTTCTTTTCAACCTTAACCGGATAAGCCAAGTGTTTAATTCCACCCCCACCTGCTTCCCATTGTAATGATTGAAACTTAATTACACGAGATCGCTAATTAGCAACCATTGATTTTATTATATTGATACAAAGCAATGTTTGGCCCGGATTAGGATAACTCGGATGGGCTCGCAAGATTAAACAGAAGGCAGATGACCCAACGTCTGCTTATCCCTCAGGTCTTCTGTACAATCGTTAGGTTTTTATTTAAAGCGCAATTGTTATTTGCTTTAGGATGACAAACTCAGCCAAAGTTTGCTTTCTTGGAAAGAAGACACTGAATTGAGCCTTTTTTCCGTCAGCAAACCATCAATCGGAGAAGTGGTTTTAAGTACCATCCCATCCAAAGCCATTTCCGTTCCCGACTGATGCTGAAATTGCTATTAACAAGAAATTTCAGTGATTGAGAGGAGTGTCACTGCCAGTGATTGCGAAGAGGACCTTCGATCTTCGCTATCCCCTTCCTGGTGTGTCGGTGAGAGGCTTCGGAAGAGATGAAAATAATGGAAACTTATTATTTTCTTTTAAAAAATATCTTATTTTTTTGATACATGGCTGATTTTCTAAAAGATTTTCCAAAACCATTATTAGTGACAGAAGCTGTTTCCCACTGTCAATCCTGCTCATTCCCATCTCTTTCTCCCCCTCTGCCTGTCCTTTTTGACAGTAAGCAGAGCCGAGACCAGCCAGGCTAGAAAAGGTCTTAACTGGACATCTTTAATTGGACATCTCTATGTGTCTCGTATGTCTCTACATCTCTATGTGTCAGCCTGGCTCAGTGGTAGCGCTCTCGCCTCTGAGTCAGAAGATTGTGGGTTCAAACCCCACGTTGGGATTTGGAATCAAGTAGTCTAAGATGACACTCCAAGGCAGTGTTGGGGGGAACGCTGCACCGTTAGAGGTGCCGTCCGTCGTATCAGACATTAAACTGAGGTCCCGTCTGCCTGTTTAGGTGGACGTTAAAGATCCCGAGGCGCTGTTTGAAAAGAGAAGGGAGTTTTCTTTTCAAAACTGTATTGTTTTGTAAAAACATAGATTGGTATTCGGAGAATGAATATTAAATCACGTTTCGAATTGTGTTGGAGAGATAATTCAAGGGACTGCAATTTTCTGTTTTAATCAGCGTTCCCTAATTGCAAGCGACTCTCTCAGCTTGTGTTGACACTCAGAGCAATCCAGAAGAATTTTCTCCACCTCTATCTGCGGAAGGCATTGCCCCAAAGGTCTCGAGATGAGGTGACAGTCTGATATTGTTGATTTTTCTGTCATCTCCACCGGTTGTGCAATTTGCATGCTTGAAATTCTACAAAAAGGCACCTTCTATGCAGAAATAGAATTATGTTTTCATAGATTAACATCTTAATGGAGTTTCAGTCTACTGAATCCCTAGCAGATGTTAATAACCAGAGGTGACAATTTTAACACTGTGCATCATTATCTGTGCTTCTCCACACACTTTGAATATATACATGTCAAGGAGCTCCATTACCAGTCTACAGCACTCGCTGTAGCGTTTCATCATTTTTACATCTATTACTTTCACCAATGGCATCTATATTTTTCTGTATAATATTTTCAACAAAGGTATTATTACATAAATGAGTATTGTAAATGGGAATGGGATTAAAGCTCGGGGGAGCAGGGATGTTAAGACTCTTCCATTTGTTCCTTTCAATACTGAATTTAACTCTGGATCTCTCAGCCTTCGTCCCTCTGCCTTGCCCGCCTTCAGATAGCATCTGAAGACCTTCCTCTTGGACCGTGCTAAGATCATCTCCCGGCTCTCCCCGGCTCGGCGTTGAGCTCCACCACCGTTGAGAGCTCCGAGACGCTACCCACTTAAGGGCGCTATATTAATGCCAGTTGTTGTTGAATATCTCTTGCAACTTTCAGATGCATTCGTATCCTAGGCTACATCACATCTGTCAGAGTAAATAACAGCCATCAGCCATAAAACAGTTGCACTATTCAAAAAGTGTTTTATTCTACGTGACGCTCATTGAGAGCTAAAAGGATTTTAGAGACCGTTTTACAGATACCGGGGATAATTTACGCTGGTTGTCAAAAATAGCTACCTTTTCGCTCAGTCTTCATTCATTGCAAAGGTATAACAAATCTTCCCTATTTCTGGTGATCGAGATGTGTATGCGTTTGTTTCAGGTGATAATCTCTTACCTATTGCCAGCTGCCTTGCCACAGTGTAATGTACCCACTGTGAGGTTTGTGGTAACCCCAGACCACTCTAGTCATTCATCTGAGCACTGACAACACCGGGCTTCTCCAAGCCTGTTTGAGAGTGACGTGCACTCAACATGCGGCTTCCAATTCCCAAATTGCGGATCGACAACAACAGCAATTACATAGCGCCCTGAACACGGGGCAGCGTCTCAGAGCACTTAACAGTGAAACGCCTGACCTGATCTTAGGGACATCGCCCAAGTTTTACACAAGGTCTGTTACACAAAGGTCTAATTAGAGTATGACGCATTTAGCTGTACCTAAATGCGTTTCACCGAGCTAAATTAATTAAATACATTGGATGGAAGGATTTGTAGACAGAAATGGTGATGGAATCCCACTTGAGCACTACGTGGTTAATTATATATTTTCCAATCCCTGGTCCTTTGCCAACCATCCCCACCAGCAAGGGAAGCATCGAGTGTTTGCTTGCTTTCATCTCTTCATGCTGTATTGGTCCTTGATTATTGCACTGTCGAAACATCAACATAATGGCCACATCTGCTGCACTCGGGTTAAGTGGGGTTTGCTCTTAAGTTAGAGAATGCCAGGATATATCTCCAAATATTCTGCCAATGTATCTCGTTTCTACTGAGCATTTGCTGCTCCTGCACACAACCCCGAGTTCCAAGGGTTTGATGTGTTTATTGTCCTCTGTAATGTCTTCCAGTATGTCGCACCATGCACTTTCATGTCCGTGTCTGTTTGAGGTAACGCACCAGAGTGCACAGAATATCCAGGTGGATTTGAATGTTGAAATGGCAGCCACCACTTTGGTTCTTTATCCCTGGATCACGCCGTAATCTCTGAAAGTTTTTATTCTTCCTTTTGCGTTCTCAGGACCGAGTCTGTGGCTGAGAAAATGTTGACTAATTGGTTTGCGTTCCTCCTGCATAAGTTCCTTAAGGTAAAGTATGATAATCTTCAGAGGAGTTTCGCTATGTTTAAACACTGCTTTTTATTTGTTTCGTCAATATAGTTATCTGAATAACATGTATTCATTCGACTTGCCTTCAGATATGTTCTGTTCAGCAAATATTTATTTTTTCGTCTGCAAAAAAGTTCAGTTTTTTAATTAAAACGTCACATCTAAATTCATTGTGTATTTATTTCCCCCAAAAAAAATCTAGCTTAAACTGGAGCCATCTAGCCTTGGCCTCTAAGACCATAGTGGCTTCAAATTTAAGGCCGCACAGAATTGTGGAAAAAGCCTCAAATTCAAAATTTCAATTGGCAAATTTAAAATTCCCAAATTAATTTGGAAGTCAGTTCATTTAAGAAAATCGGCATCCAAAGCAAGAAACTGAATTTAAGGATTGTCACAGGCTAAGACCAGGTGAAATTTCTGGCCTTGGGTCCATTTCTGTTGCACTGCTATGTTACGTGTTCTCGAAGCATGGGAGGCAATGGGTATTTCTGCTGCTTGCAGACTGAGCAGCGGGGCGATATGAAGCATTGATTCTTTGTATGACAAGCTGGATGAGATTTCCAAATGAAATGAACCCTTCTCGTTTTCTTATTCATGCTGTCTTTTTTCCAGGAATGTGCTGGTGAGCCTCTCTTCATGTTGTATTGCGCCATTAAACAGCAGATGGAGAAAGGACCGATTGATGCAATCACAGGAGAGGCACGCTATTCCCTCAGTGAGGATAAACTGATCCGACAACAAACTGAGTATAAAACCCTAGTGAGTTCATCTGTCAAACTCCCAACACTGCTCCGAGAAAGCTGTGTGCACTGAGTGTTCTGAAATAAAATGTTCAGCCACATTGGTTAAAGGGCTAAAGATGCTCGCGTTGATTCATTTTTAATTGAAATCATCATCCACATTGTCTTATGGCAATACCACTGTAAGAGCCTGGATTGGTTTGAGGTTGTCTATATCTTTTTCCCTTTGTATTGCTGGGTTTGAAGGGTGGATAAACTTTATGCCCTCATCTATAAATGCACAAAAATGTCTTTAAAGTTAAAATAGCGAAACTGACCATGTTAACTATATCAGGACTGACCCTCAGTATTTGGATTTCTTAACCCGTTTAACGTGTGTGTTTCTTTTGCTCAAATAGATTCTGAACTGCGTGAATCCAGACAATGAGAATAGTCCTGAGATTCCAGTGAAAGTGCTGAACTGCGACACAATCACCCAGGTCAAAGAGAAAATCCTAGACTCCATCTACAAAAATGTGCCATATTCCCAGCGGCCACGTGCAGTTGATATGGACCTAGGTATGTAATCCCATTGTGATGTTCAGCGCATTTCCCAATTGCTTGTATAAACTTTGTCCCTGCTGGAAGTTTATACAAGTTTATACAAGGAACTTCCAGCTGTAAAACCATTAATGGATACGTAGAATATGTAGTACGTGAAAGTTGTTAATAATAATAATTCTTGCATTTGATACGGCGCCTTATCATGTCGTTGAGACGTCTCAAAGCGCTTCGCAGAATATACCGTAAAGTGAATTGACTGTATATTTTGTGGGCGAAACGCGGCAGCGAGTTGCGTACACCAGTTACTAAAACTTACCATCATTATTTTACTTGTTACCGAAACCACTCTTGAAAGCGAAACTGTTTTCTGCCGAGTTGCGCTGAAATCCGAAGGTTGGGATTGACCATTAACCTGTAGCACATCTCCACAGAGTGGCGTCAGGGGAGAATGGCTCGTGTTGTCCTACAGGACGAAGATATCACCACGAAGATTGAAAACGACTGGAAGCGCTTGAACACTTTGGCACACTATCAGGTAGTGCAGACACACACACACCACACACGCACACCACACGCACACAAGCAACATGACGCTGTGATGATGGGGGAACAACAACAACTTACGTTTATATAGAGCCCTTCACGCGGGGTAGCGTCCTGCAGGGCTTGACAGTGGCGGAGTCTGACCCCCCGAGCCAGGGCGAGAGGGAGAGGGGGGGGGGGGTGGGGGAGACGACTGTAAGCGCGATCAAAAAGGAAGGACTTTAGGCAGGATTTGAAATCGAACGGGTACCAGAAAGGTTAACATCAAATGAAGAGTTGATGAGTTGTCAGTTATTGCGCGGTTTGAGTGGTGGCAGATAATGAAGAGGAGATTTGCAGCAAATTCAAATTAGCGAAAAGCTGACAGCGGTTGACAGAATTAAACCTCCTTCTTTGTCAGCACCGGCTCCCCATCATGTCAGTGAATAGAATGGGATTAGCATTTTCTATTTCCTCGGAGAACAGGATTAATAAAGAAATATTAGATGTGCCTGCTGCTTTGTACACATTATTCATTATAATAGTCAATCAGAAGATTTCACGTGGAACATTTTTTACATTTATTATGTCAAAGTTAATAGTTTATTCTGCTAAAATAAAACGAGGGGAATTTTTTTCTTAGTCCGTCGATGGAGATGAATGCGAAATTGGAATTCCGCGGGATATAAAAGTATACTTTATGATTTTTTTTGTGTCAATTTTTATTAACAGGTTCTTATAAGTACTCCGGCTATTGAGGTTTGAAAGAGTTCCTTGAAATGCTCAGCTGCCTTAGCATGAGATGGCCCATATTCAAGAGTTCCAATTGCCTTTTTATTGAATGTTAACCTCGAAATCAAAGCAACATTAATCCCTTTCAAACTTCGGTCTTTTAATATCCAACATTGGTTATTTTATTTTTAATTCTTTGATGAGTGTGTGTAGGGGAGGTGGGATTGTTTTAGCTTCCAAGCAATGCAATTCTAACCTGTCCAACTTATCTTTGTCGGGGAGTAAGCTTCAGATAACTAGATGCGCTTTGTGACATGATATTGCATATGGTCTATTGCGTGAAACTCTAGTTACATACCGAGCACGGTCGGTAGTTGGATATCCAGTCAGCTTTGAGTAAATGACTTGCTGCTGTAGTGCCTGTCAACACTCCACAAATGCACTGATCTTAACTCAAGCCCTGGGCGGTACTGACCCTTACATATCAATAACCAAGAGGATACTAAAGCCCTCTGACCAGTGCTTTGCAAATGAAGCGAGGTGTCGGTTAATATCAATCCCGGGCAGGGGCGAAACCTTTCGGCAAATTTCCTTACTCCATCACGCCTCTGTTTACCTCGCAATAAGTAGAAACCTGGTTGTTCGTCGATTGGCAAATTGCTTTCCAGGGTTAACAATCCCTCCCCCCAAAAATTGGGCCACTCAATCCATGACTGTTTGTGGGACGTTGCTGTGCGCTAATGGCTGCCGGGTTTCTCCCAAACTCCACAGTCAATCCACTTTATAATACATTCTGCGAAGTGCCTTGAGACATCTCGATGACGTGATAAAGTGCTACATCAAATGCAAGGATTATCATTAATTATTTATTATTAACGCAAGGGCGGGAGCACATCGGTGTCGGCTTGTGCTTCGACCCAGTGAACCTGACGTAAATTACACCTGAGCCAGAAGTTTTTAATGGACAGGAATTCCAAAATCACCAACTGAACCTTTGAGCTTTAACTAGTGGTATTTTCCCACCATCAAAACTCCTAAACGTGACCAGATTGACTTTCAGCCACTTCTGGTTTATGTCGTTGTAAAATGCCAGGTTCAGTGCAGAGCTAATAGTGATTTAAGGGGCAGTCCACTTTCCCCTGAATATATATTATTTCTCAGTTCCTGAACTGGTTCAGATGTTCACTGTTTGAGCCTGTGACTGCCTGGAAGAATGCTACGCGTGCGGCATTTTGTTTTCTTGTAAATTATCAGGGTCGGGGAAAGGAATGGCGCTTTAGTGAACCGCTGAATATTATCAATGGAATTTCCTTTCATTACCGAGTTTTCTCCGCCAGAACGCTCTAGGCATTCTTCAACCTATAAATAACAGTGTCCAATAAAATCTTTAAAAGGACCGACATTACTGATAGTCAGTGGGGGGTGGGAGCGCGAAAGTGTTTCTAATTTTCTTTTTAAAAGGCCCAACATAACAGGAAATATTGCTGTACAAAGAGGACAATTAACGACTGGAATGGGTTGGCAAGGAGGGGCGTTTGAGGCCAGGACGATGGGATTGGTTTAACAAACAAACACAGCTTGATGCTGCGATGGGAGAATGGTAAGGGCGGGTGTACTATGGGAGGTTAAGATCAGGTGAATTGAAGGGACTCCCATCTTGCGATCTTACAATCTCGACACACTGCGGGTGCAGTCGCGTATGACAACTGTTTTTATTTGCTGTGCTTTACCTTTTTTTTCCCCCTCTGTAGTTCCCCACTGGCGCCTGGGTATCAAGAAAGCAACAACCTCGTTGCCAAGAACATTCGGTTTCATCGCCCGCTCTGAATTCAATTCTGCTAATTCCTTCACAGGTGTCCGAGCGCTCAGTCATCGCTCTGGTTCCCAAACAGACCTCGTCTTACAATGTCCCGACCACAACAAGCATGTGTCGGACATCTATCAGCCGCTACGGTAAGTTGAGATGAGCCTGCATTCACCAAAAGGCTTTTTTGTACAACAAGGACCTAGCATAAACCATCTATCGGAGTGAGTACCTTTTACCCCACTCACAATTGCCTAAAATAAATCCTGTGGTATAACTTAACCGGATTCCTTACACAACGAGAACCAAAAAAATACTCCTCGTGAAACTCTTTCCCTTAAATTACGCAAACAGTCGCAACGTGGATTCATTTATTGCGACAATGTGCTGACTCCGCGCTTTTAACGAGCAAACTTATTAATAATTCAAATATTTAAATTCGGCCAAGCGCCTTTTGCGTTGGGAGAACACCTGTAAGCACTTTACGGGATTCACCCGCAAAGCGAAGTGGCTGTGAATTTGTGGGAGAAACCCGGCAACCCAATTGCGCACAGCGACGTCCCACAAACAGCGGTGAAGTAAATGAACAGTCTTAGATGGGTGATTGCAGATTTCTTGGTGATTGGATGAGGAGCAAGAGTGAACAGGGAGTGAGTGGGAGGTGACGACAGCAGCAGAGATAAGTTTTAAGGTAGGATTTAAAGCTCGATAGAGGGAAGGCTGAGGGCTGGAGACCGGGAGTTCCAAAGGATAGGGCTGTTCAAACGCACAGTCAATTTTTTTTTTTTTTTTTGGATTCCCCTTTGCTTGAATGTTTTTTTTTTTGTCTCTCGAATAGATTCCACGTTGCGTTACACCGGGAGCCCTGACAGCCTGCGTTCTCGGGCTCCGATGATCACCCCGGATTTAGAGAGCGGAGTTAAAGTGTGGCACCTGGTGAAGAACCACGATCACGGAGACCAGAAGGAAGGGGACCGCGGCAGCAAGATGGTATCGGAAATCTACCTGACCAGACTGCTGGCAACAAAGGTACCAGATTCTCAAGCCAGTAACCCCACTCGCTGGGCTTTCAATACGAATCGAGGTGGAATAAAAGTGCCACGTTTCGCCCACAAAATATGCAGCAAATTCACTTTATAGTGTATCCCGTGAAGCGCTTTGAGACGTCTCATCGACGCGATAAGCCGCTACATCAAATGCAAGGATTATTATTATCGCTCTTACTGACGGGATGCGCTCCAATTAGCACAAGAGTCAACTTACAATATATAATAATCACATTAAACCAGTAATGATCCTTACATTTGATATGATGCCGATAGGTTGATGTAGTTTGGCTCAAAACGCTTCACAGGACACACTGTAAAGTCAAGTGTAGTGACTGTGTGTTCTGCGGGCAAACGTGGCGGCCGATTCCGCACAGCAACTTGTTGAGACTCGCTGTATACCGGACTCCAGTGTGCGGGAGGGAACTGGAGAGAGGCTGAAACGAATTGAGTTGCAGGCGTCTGTCCCCGAGCTCACGGAATACGGGTTTAACTCAGGAACGAAAAGCCGATCGTTTTTCCTCCCTCCCTATCTCAGTTAGGGCTTTTAAGTCACACCCTGGTAGAAATCACCCCTCTCAGCGCCCAGGTTTAAGACTTCACCCTACGGGCTTGACCGGACAGATTGACTGAACCGTTCGGAGTGCTCCCCAACACCTCTCAGATGGTCTTCATTTTGGGGACTTGTAAAAAAAGAAAAAGAAAAACGCGCGGTTTCGGCGCTTGGATTTCCCCGTCGAGTGAACCCCGAGGGTGACGTGAGCGCTTGCTTTTTCTCTCAGGGCACGCTGCAGAAGTTTGTGGATGACCTGTTCGAGACGCTGTTCAGCACTGTGCACAGGGGCAGCGCTCTGCCTCTCGCCATCAAGTACATGTTCGACTTCCTGGACGAGCAGGCGGACAGACACACCATCCACGACATGGACGTTAGGCACACGTGGAAGAGTAACTGGTGAGCAAAACGTCCCACTGCTTCCCCCCCCCTTGAATCGCTCCGGAAACCCTACCCAGCGCAAAGGGTGCTGTTATTAAAATGCAAGTTGTTGTTGTTGCGGTTGAATCCCGGGAGGATTGGGGATCGAATGGGCCGGAGGGTCCTTCTTCATCTGAATCGATCTCTGCGCTCTTGTCTTTCGAACCTGCCGTCGCCCACAGTAAGTAAGTAAGGTAGAGTTGCAGTTTAGGACGGTGGAGGAGGATTCCTTACGCTGCTGAGCACCATTGGCTGCTGCGTTTCACCCACAAAATATACCGTCGCTGCACTTGATGGTATATCCCGCGATGCGCTTTGAGGCGTATCAACGACTCGATAAGGAGCTGTATCAAATGCGAGTGTTATTATTATAAGCAAGGATGTTGTCCATCTATATTTATCCTTTATTTATTTTATTCTTCATTCACTTCCCTCATCTCTTCAGCCAAGCCTACAGTCACCTAATCTTCTCCCTTGCTCGGCATCCAACCTTGCCACTGCATTTGAATTTGGGGCTGAATTTGGATGACGAGGGAAATAAAACTAAAGCGGATAACCCTAATATTGTACATTATGCAAACTAGCGTGTAAATCCGTGTCCCTGCAGGTCAGCTCTTTGGAAACTGTGAACCTGCGAGTCCGTATTTCATGCCTAAGCGTCAATACTGTCGGCTCTTTATTTCAAACGTCAGAACAGGCAGATGGCATGAGCCATATTCCAGCCAGGTGTTTTGATGTGCCAAACCGTTTCATGTCCTGACTGATTCTCTTTATGTTTGTAGTGGAGAATGGAGGAGAGGGAGGGAGGAAAGGGGGGCAGCGGGGCTTGGTGGGGGGGGGTGGCGGGGTGCGGATGGAGGGAGGGAGGGGGAGGGTTAGAGAGAGAAAAAAACTTGAAAGCTCCAAACATTAAAAAAATCTAGTATTAGATTGTTTTTTTTTTGATCCGAAACAAAAGGAAAGGGTGAGGTTTGAACTTTCCTGCGGAGGAGAAATTAATAATAAAAGAAAAAGAACATCAGTAATTTTCGCCGGGATTCGTTTGAACAAAGGAACGAATGTGAAAGCGGATCTGGTGGTCCTCCCCAATAATGAAAGCGCTTGTCGGACGGACTCCTGACAGCTCGGCAGGCTGATTTGCACCTGTTTGAAATGTTAATGGGGAAGAGCGAGCTCCTTTCTTCCCGAGATAAGAGTGCAATCTTGAGGATTATGACATGACAAGGACATCAAGGTGATCAGCCACGTTCCTTTTCCTTTTCCTTTCCCCGAGCTTCTCTGGGGAAGCGGTGTGTCTGACTGGAGGACGGGTGTGAAATGGAAGGACTTTCTCGCCTGCGTCCAACGTCTGTCTGAGACTCAGCCTCCTCGGGGTGTGTAAGGCCAGAGCCTCCAGGGAACTGCTTCGCACCGCTCAGCTTTCAGGGGCTTTCAGTCCAGCTGAACCACAGCTCCGCACAGACAAAAATTCCATCATGAAGGTTCCTGCACGTTCTTTGCAAAGCAAAGAGGAGAACGTTTGTTTGCTTGAAAAGAAACGGTGGGCGATGGAATCATTCCTCGGCTCGGCATTTTTACTGACCCGAACACTTTTGTGAGAGATTATCAGCTCGCGCAGTTAAAGCCTTGTTACCTTTTTCGTGCGCCGCTTTGGGTAGGAATGCGTGCTTCTAGCGTACAACGCTTGAGGAGAAATCATTTAGAAGAGACCTTTTATATGCGGACATGAATTTTTCAGTACTTGCTGAAACGGTTTCAAAATGCTTAATGCTATTCCAGAAACATGCAGTCGCGGTCGATCTCAGTCCTGTTGGCTAAGCCAAGGAGATGGAAAGCGATATGATAACGGATTGCTTTAATCACAATTCCATCCTGCCCTGACGATCTGATCTTATCAGGCTCTCAGCTCAGCGAGGCATTGGCGTGATTTCGAATTGGCTGCTTCGGTCGCTGACCATCAGTTCAGTGAGTCTCCTCAGAGCATCAGCTGCCAAACTTTCCTGCTTGCAGGAACCCTCTTCCGCTGTCATCACCTGCAACTCTGTCTTACGTCCTGTCCTTTGTGTGTGGTGACAAATTCCAATCAAGAATTGATCAGCTTTTCTAGAAACAGCTCTGAAACTTGAGTCTGGTTATAATAATAATAATAATAATATCCTTGCATTTGATAGAGTACTTTATCACATCTTCAAGACGTCTCAAAGTGCTTCACGGGTTTCCTCAGGTCCAAGATGCTAACCCCATATGAAGGTCACTATATAAATACAAGTTGTTCTTGTTTCCGCGTCTGGTAGAGGACATGAGAAGCCATGAACGTAGAAAGCACTTTTGAGATTAGAGAACTCTTTGACAGTTCAATTACACGAAATGTCGGGAAGGCATCAAGATTATTCAGTTAATTATATTGTACTTATTCCATTAAATTTATTCAGCTTGATCTTAATCCAGCGCTGAGCTGGTTATTTCTCCGTATTTCTTTACCCTGCTCATCTTAGCCTTCTATATGTTCTTTAATTAATCTCCAAGTGACTTTATGTATTGAAAACCAATAACCTTCCTTTCGGGCTGGATGGAACCTTAGATGCCAAAGTACTATTCCACCTTCAAGAAAAGTAATCTTGAATTATTGTTTAATTAATAAAGTTACGACAATCATAAAAAGGGTAGAATGATTGTACATTTTTTTTTGTGTAACACCATACAATCTATCTTAACATTCCTGTTTTCTGCCAATGCACTTCGCTGTATTCCCCAATCTGTTATTCAGTCAGTCAGCTCAACGATCCATCTATACTAATAAAACAGCAATGTCTGTCTGTCTGTCTGTCTGTCTGTCTGTCTGTCTGTCTGTCTGTCTGTCTGTCTGTCTGTCTGTCTGTCTGTCTGTCTGTCTGTCTGTCTGTCTGTCTGTCTGTCTGTCTGTCTGTCTGTCTGTCTGTCTGTCTGTCTCTGCGCTTCAAGAAGGATCTCAATAACCAATTGACATAGAGACATGATTTATACCTCATCGGAAAGGTCTTGGAACTGGGAATGACATGGGCATATTTGTTTTCAGGTATATTTCGATTTTGCGTTTTTCGCTGCAGTTACGCCGAGTCAAAGTGGCTTTGTGGCATTGTGCAGTTACACCTGGTAGCCACCCAGGCTGACTGTGGCGCTGCGTCACAGAGCACGCACGTAGCCAAGCAGCGACGGGAACAAAATAAAGAGCTCAGACGAAGCTAAGCCGCGGCAACAATAACCAAATTACATTTTTAAAGCGCCTTTCACGTCGGGAGGACGTCCCAGTGATAATAAATTATACATTTATCATTATAAGCTAAGCTAAAATCAAACCTTTCTAGAATAAGTAAACGTGTCTGTCTGCACATCAACCTACAGTCCATATTGGATCCTTTGGTTGCCAGCATAGCAGCTGCAACGGTTACAGCTAGCAATATATAAAGCAGGCGTGCAGTGTTTAATTCTGATATTGATCTCCCTTTCGCTCACTGTTGATAAATGTGCACCAAACTGATGAGAAGGCTAAAGATAATTAAAGCTGTTTTTCTATCTTTCTAAAAGTTTAATGAGTTCCTCTCCGATTTCCGCCATGGTGGCTTCTCACTGTGTAGCAGGTTTGACTGCTGCGTGTTTTCCCTGGTTATTGAACCCGTCAAGATTGATGCTGTGATCAGCAGGAAGGAATTTTTAATAGGTCATTATGGGAGGTGCTGGACCAAGGGGCGGAAGCTCAATACTACATTGGCTGTAACTCTTAGTGGATTTGAGGTTGCGTTAACTTTTTGAATCATTCAGCTTTTAACACTCTCGTTTTACAATTACATAGTTTGTTCTTCACCCTAAGACTTTCGTTCCCGTTAAGATTTTAGCCACGTAGTCATGACCTGCAGCGTTATTTTCTTTTCCCTCTCCAAGGACTTTCGTGAAATGTTTTAATAAGTACAGACAATGTTGAATCACAAGTACTTGAGTACCTTTCCCACACTGGGAAACAAAATAACACAAGGTTGCTTTTGTTCTTTATTTCTCCAATCAATCCTTATTCAATAAAAGTTTATTAAGGAAGAACGCTTCTGCTCACCACAAATATACGAGCTACTTACAATCTCCATGGCTGAGTCACTACTAAAATCTGCAGTGAATGAAATTTGGTGGTAACCTGGCAACTCTCCCGACAACAGCAGCAACTTGTATTTCTACTGTGCTCTTCACGCAGGCAGTGTCTCAGAACGCTTAAATACCCTTGTCTGGATTTGCAGTTGTGATCGCGTCCATAACTAATAGTTTGTCCTTTTTCCCCCCCCTCCCCCCGCCCCCTGCCCCTCTTGCAGTTTGCCGTTGAGATTTTGGGTCAACGTGATCAAGAACCCACAGTTTGTGTTCGACATTCACAAGAGCAGCATTACAGACGCATGTCTCTCTGTGGTGGCACAAACGTTCATGGACTCGTGTTCGACTTCTGAGCATCGGCTGGGAAAGGATTCTCCGTCCAACAAACTGTTATATGCCAAGGATATCCCCAACTACAAGAGTTGGGTTGAGAGGTTAGTGTATATCAGTATGAGCTCTGCAGAGCCATGGGTGAGTGGGCCGAGCTGTTATCTGACTTGAAATGAAATCAGAGAAAGATTACACGATAAAAGTTATAGAGTAATGCATCACAGAACCAGGCCATTCAGCCCACCTAATCCGTGCTGGTGTTCATACTCCGCACAGGCCACCGATTACCCTCACCTGTACCTCTCTTATTCCCTTCTCCCTCGTGCATAGCAACTGGAATTAATCATAAAAAATTCTAGGAGAGGAGACCAGTGTGGTTCTACAAATTAAACCCTGATGTGATGTAAAATGTTGATTTGGGAGTTTGCAATAATAAAATAAAATAATAATCATCCTTGCATTTGATATAGCGCCATGCATAGCTGTGCTAATCATCTCCAGATGAACAAATACATTGGGATCCTGTTATTATGGGCAGCCAGTAGACGAGACCGTTTTGTTCTTATCGGTGAATTTGGTCACCGCAAGCTTCGATTGGCAAACTGAAGTTTTGACCTGAATAGTGAGTTGCACTCATGACTAAAGGCGCCTTCGATATGAACCTCAGAACGTGAACACCATTGGGTGAAAAGCTCAGTATACTGAAGTCAACGTTTTGACATAATAATAATCCTCGACTTTCATGTAGCACCAGTAACATAAACCGTCCCAAAGTGCTTCACAGGGTCTGTGAAGCAAAATGATGATGTATTTTGTGGGCAAGAACAGCAGCCAAATTATGCCCCACAAAATCCCTCAAACAGCCACAAAGTGAATGGCCAATTTTATCTGGAAGGTTGTTGGCCACACATACATGCATGCTTACCTGCCTGCCCACAAGAAATGTACAGTTGTATAAGCACTGGTGATTGTTTTAACAAAGTCACATTTTGACTTCAATGCGCTATTCAACAGTAGCATGAAACAACAACAACAGCAACAACATCACATTTATAGAGCACCTTTTACGTCGGGAGGACCTCCCAAAGCGCTGAACAGTCAGATGTCGGGGCCCGAGCATGGGGGAGGGGTGATGTAGGGGTGAGGGAAGGCAGAGAAGTGGGAGAGAAGGGTCTTGAGACCGGCCTTGAAGGAGGCAAGGGAGGAAGTGAGGTGAGGGGACCGTGGGATGGAGTTCCAGAGTGTGGGGGCAGAGAGGCTGAAAGCCCGGCCACCAATGGTAGGACAGGTCGGGCGGGAGACATGGAGCAGGCCGGAGCCCGCTGAGCGGAGGGAGCGGGCAGGTTGGTAGAGGGTCAGCAGGTTAGAGAGGTAGGAGGGGGCAAGGCCATGGACGGCCTTAAAGGTGAGGACGAGGATCTTGGACTCGATCCTCTGGGGGACGGGGAGCCAGTGGAGTCGGCCGAGGGCGGGAGTGATGGGGTCGCGGAGCCTGGGGCGTGAGAGTACACGAGCTGCAGAGTTTTAGATGAGAAAAAATCCCAAAGTTTGCTCTTTCTCGCAATCCAATCGATTCCAAACCACTTCCCATTCATCCTCATTTTTTATTTTAGATTTCCTGCGGCAGGCAATAAGGTTCAGATGTATTATGGTCCAGGCATAAAATGTGTTCAGCTATTTACGTTTTTCAACGCTGAGCACACTGAATATTGTTGGTCCAGCGCACTTCATTCATCTTGTGTGCACAAATAGCTTTCTGAGAGAGGGTGGGAAATTGTATTTTGTATAATAGTGTTTTGATGTTGGCTGCAGTTCAGGCTGAGCAGTTAAATAGACTGGGGAGGAAATATTACAAACTGGCAGTTTCTACTAAGATCCCAGTGCAAATAAAGCATTTTTTGACAAAATAAGTTACGGTTTTTTTTATTAGGATTCAGTTGCAGTTGCCTAAAGTTTGCAAATCTGATTTTGTTATACGAGTGGAGAATACAGAGTCTTGTTTGCCAGCGTTAGCAAACTCTTAAAAGTGCAGGACAACAAAGTTTCCTACATCCCTCACCTCGTTCAAAGCTCATCTCGAAAGCATACCTCATTTAACGCTGCTTGACCAGCCTCCATAACTCACAGCATTGAGTCTGGGAGGGGTAATCATGTCCTTAGCCAAAGAGTCAAAACCCTGATGGGCAAATTGATGACGTGAAACATTTAGTGCTTTGTATTGTTATTACAGGAAGTTAGTTGTTAGCTGGGGAGATGGGGTGGTGGTGATGGTGGGGGGGGATGTCATTTAATTGGGTTACGACAACCTTATGCATCTAGCTTCGCGACAAATGCATTGCCTGCCCAATGTGAGCACACCACAGCATTAAGTCTAGAAGCCAAGGGATGGCTGCGATCAATCAGCCTGAACTTCCAAGCTGAATGAAGATGGGACTGGATTAAAAAGCGCGGAGCAATATATAACATTGGCAACTGGAAGCAGTCTTGCAATTCCCATTGAAATGACAGGGAAGCAGAGATGTGACAGGCGCTGATGGTATAACTTCACTCGCGGACCACTGCCGAGTTCCAGATACCTTGGGGCAGTTTTCATCATGGTGATTAATGAGAGTTGCGTGGATGCACAGGGCTACTTTTGCCCCCATTTGTGTGTAATGTACCCCAGGCAGACTGCACCTGCTGTTTGCCTTTATGCCTGCCTGTGCAAATGGCACAAGATATCATTCAGAAGGGAATATGTCAACTCCTTTGCACACAGTTGCATTTTGACCCGGAGCTGTCAAATCAACCTAGTACGTATTTTATGCAATAAATGGGTTACTCTTACATAACAGAAGTATCTTTACTATTACGGCAGTTACAAAAAAATCCTCTTCTTTGGGAATGGCGCGCAGCAAACTGCTGAAGGACTCACTTCATACATAATTTGCATTCATTGAGAATGAGGAAATTCTATAAAAGAATAACGACCCTCTGGGAAATATGGTTTGTCGTAAACTAATCGCTGTAATAAACAGCGGTTTCTTTTGTTGGAAATGAGAAATGGCATTATAAATACAGAGCTGTTATCAAGAACAGAGAGGGATAATTACTTGAAAAGTCAAAATATCAAGTGGTGAGGAAGTAGAGTGATGGAACTAGGGGGTGGGGGAAGTTGTAACAAAGTGCTGTGGAGGAACTGGCTGGATGGGCTGAATGGCTTCATTCCGTTCCTAAAATCTGTTCCTCTGTGACAATAACACATGCCAGGACTCATAAAAGATTGGTTCGGATGAAGAAGCCCAATAGCCCATTCGGTCTCCCTCCTCCCCACCTTTTCCCCCATCACAGCATCGAGCTGCTTTCTGAATGAGTCCCAGTATTCCTGGCCTCAACCACCTTTCCTGGCAAGGCTTCCAGCTGTTAATTACCCTTTGAGTCTTCACCCAATGTGTCTGTCGTTCTTCCTATTCGCGAGGCTTAAACGTCAGGAAATAACGCACCCCTCCGGGTGAGCATAACTGATTGCGGGGATTTTTAAGTTATTAAAAGGAAGGTGTTTGTTGAAATACTTACGCACGTGCGTTTCTTTTCTACTTGTAAAGGTATTACGCCGATATCGCCAAAATGTCTGCCATCAGTGATCAAGACATGAACGCCTACTTGGCGGAACAGTCCCGTTTGCACGTGAATGAGTTTGACATGCTGAGCGCATTGAACGAGATCTATTCCTACGTTATCAAATACAGTGAAGAGGTAAGCATGCAAAATCGTGTGCTCGGCGATGTTAAAAAGTCTCAGACGTGAGGGAGAAAGTCCTGATGTGCGTTTTTTAGCTGGTGGCCGAAGAAAAATATTAATAATAATAAAAAAAATCTTTGCGTTTGATGTAGGGCCTCATCACGTCGTTGAGACGTCTCAAAGCGCTTCACTCACCTTCTTTAATTGGAATATTAACCTTTGTGGGCACTGAATATTCTTTAATATACACATAGGATCCTTATTGCATGCAAGTGTTCCTTTCCTCTCTGCTACTGGTTAATTAAAGGCAATGGATTTTTCAGGTAATGTAAAACAAATGATGTCTGGTCTAGCAACTAATTTCTCTGGATCGCGAGGATCTAGAGTCCTTTAGGTCTGCATTGCTGAAGATAATTCCAGCCGATAAACAAATCATTATTTTCCCATCTAAATGATCAGCCCTACGATACTTAAAAGAGCATTAGTAAGCATTCAGGGTATTTATTTAATATGTTATTCACAGCGTCAAAAGGCAACTCAACCACATAAGAGGGCTGTAAACACCGTAAAAGCTCCTCATCAAACATTATGATGCATTTCAATATTTTTCCCCTCATCACCACCGCTGGTTACTTTTTCCATGAGTTATCTTTGCAGATAAGTGTTTGGTGAGTGCTGTTTGAGTGTCAATGTATATGCGCGAGCGAGACAGAGTGAGGAGTTTCTCCCAACAGTGAACATGATGGGCCTTTTATTCCCTCCTTCCCGTCTGCGATTGTGTCAAATCCCGTGGCGAGATTAAAAAAAAGAGAGATGTCTTTGCTCTGAAAACCGCAGTCACTATTCGAGGCTATTAGGAGTTTAAGAGTGAAATCGGGAAGTATTTTTTCACGCAAAGGATAATGGAAATCTGGAACGCTCTCCCCCAAAAGCCTGTAGATGTTGGATCCATTGAAATTTTCGAGACTGAGGTGGATAGATTTTTGTTAGAGCAGGCTTTCAAGGGATATGTTCTTATTATCTCGGGATACAGTGTATAGTTTGGGACACGACATGTCCATGCGATTGCCAGGATGGTGAAGGCGAACTGGATGGACCTTGGTCTTCTTTCGCCAAGGAAATTCTTATGTTCTTACATGGGGCAGAGGTGGGTGTTTGGAGTTGAGGTACAGATCAGCCGTGACCTAATAGAATGGCGGAACAGGCCCGAGGGGCTGAATGGCCTCGTCCTCCTGTTCCCTATGTTTACTGTGTTCCATTACCCGTCCAGAACTTGTTCTTGACTTTGCCTCTTGCTTTTTCGCCGCCCGTTAGATAACCGCTGCCTTGGAACAGGACGAGCAGGCTCGGAGGCAGCGACTGGCTTACAAGGTCGAGCAGCTGATTGCCGCCATGCTGCTGGAGAGTTGAGACCGACCTCTTCAGGAACGAGCGGCTGAGCAACAGACGATTCGCCAAGCGCAGCCACCAAACGGGGAGAGCAGGAGCGATGGGAGTCGCCAAGTTAAACGCCGCAGACACAGTTGCAAACCAGCGACTGGTCTTGGGGGACAGATGCTTCGAGCTGCCTTTTTTTTTCGAGAGGCCCAGCTGGGAAACTCCTTTTCAGTTTGCTTTCCTTAAGAGTTTGGTCGCGGTCCTTTCGTTACTCTGCAACTCCCAGTTCGCCGTAAATCTCGATTCACCTATGGCTTCATTGTTTACAAGGGACGGCCCCTTTCGGGGGGACTCTATGCGGTGAGTTTACCGATCGTACGATTGACCGAGGCTTGGTGTTACCAAACCGCACGGACTGTTGGTGTGGACAAGAGCCACCAGAGACACGCAACAGAAGCAGCAACAGCAGCAGCATAATGGTATAGAATCCTTTTCCCTCCCCTCCCTCATTCCCTCCCTCCCGCCCCTCCCCTCCCAACACAAGAAATGATTTGCAGCCTCACAACTGAGCACCAGATGCCTCACTCACTCACAACAGCCGGGCTGCGTAAGAGGTGACTGACGTAGGTTTCTGATGCAACGTAGAAGTGACGAGCGGCAAACTGTACAACCGGAAGCAACTTGTGGTCAACTCAGAGCCCCCAGAATTCCTGCCTTGCATTCCAGAACCGGTGCCACTTCCAGGTTTCCATCCACCCCTCTCGGACTCTGTGAAACCTCTGGCAGTACAGATACAAAGCTCCAGTGCACATATCGGAAATGGGAGGAAAGTGTTGGGTCTCGCACTGTTTATTTTCCCCCCTCCGCACACACATGCACACAGGCACACAGTCAAACTTCTTCTGGGCTTGTTTTCATTCACTGTTTCATCTCTCTTTACACTTCAAGAGGCTGCTGCTATTTAAGTTAAGCTATTCCCTATTACACTCCAGTCAGTAAAAGTAAAGGCAACATGAGTCTTTTACCAGATTTTCTATTACTCTTAACTTCATGAATGTAACACTGCGGACAGAGCAGAGGACAGAGCAAAGAAACTGTACTGGAAAACACTCTCAACATTGCACACTGTTCAGTAATCCTGCAAAATCATAATCATGCCTTTTGGTGCTTCTCACCATGGTGTGTAGAGTCAACCTTTACGGCACAATATTAAATATTTAATGACTTTTTTTTACCAAAATGTAGTGTGAAATAAAGGAAAGGAAACTTAGACATTTCACACCCTAACTGGAGATTTACTTTTTTGGGTTAAATCGAATGCAAACCACAGGCGGAGGAGATAACAGGCTAATGTTCGAGGTCTGCTAGGGTCAGGAGGTGAAGGTTACTTTCAGTCAGATCGCACCGATTTGGGAAGATTTCCATATTGGATGGATGGCAAATCGGGCAAAGGATAACAAAGGAGTCAAAATGAGCTTGAAAATGTCACGCCCCAAACAAGGTACCTGGTGGTAAGAGTGATGAGAGACACTGGGAAGCAGTTCATTAATTTTAAAAGCCCTTTTTTTCGATTGATTGAACGCGTTCTAGTATTTTAGCGTCAGAAAAAAGCCAGCGCTGAGCAGAGCTGAGATACTGTAATGACACCGCCAATAATCACCCAGCACCATGCAGATCGCTTGGATCTGAGCTCCCGGGTGAGCTTGTGGGGCAATTGATGGCTTTTTTTTTGACTGCCTTGGTGGCTCGAATTAGATGATGTTTAGTTATAGGCTCTTGAGATAAACATCTCCTACAGAGGATGTCAAAGCCTCTCAGAGGCCCTCGAAGAGATTGTGGTCATTGTTTTTTAAGAAACAAAATGGTGCTTTATTTTACAGGTGTCTTACTCCCATCCCCAGTTCTTTGCTGCTTGTATCTCACCATCTCCTTGTTAAGTAGTTGGGTTTCAGGCGTTTCTGTGAATTTAAGGTCAGCATTGTATAAACCTCAGCTAAACAAGATATCCCTAGTGCTATTGCAGCAAAACAACTCGTTGCATTCACACTCAAATTGGAGATGCTATCTGCAGGGGGCGATCAAAGTTGGACACCTCCCACATAAGTGTCCTGACAGATCTGATCGTGATTCGGGATCAAGTCTCAGACTTGCAGCCCAAGATGTGAAGCAAGCGTTTCATACCATCACTATTGCTGTCAAAAGATTTTGTTCCGAAGGCTTTATTGAATCACAAGTCGACAAAAAAAAAAAGAAGACCATATCTTACTCTTAAAGCGTTGACATTCCTCCAGCCGGTAGCTGTAGCGGTTTTGAACACACACGTTCTGTAATGGGATTTTCCTATCTCAAACGCACCTCTTCAAACTCACTGCAGTCTACCGAGAAGCAAATGGAATATCGCACCCGTGTGTCTATAGCTGTCTTTCCTAGCCTGTTTGTTCCATTGACATTAAAAGAAAACCAAAGGTTTTAAAACACATTGTCCTAGTGCCACGAAGTGTACAGATGTTGTAAATATTTATCATGACTCCCCCCCCCCCCCCCACCCCCGTCCCCGTGTGGGAGGGGAACGTTCAGACTTGCTTTCTGTCGCTGTTGTGCTTGGTTCTTGTCATTCGGTTCTTAATACGGATAAGAGTGGACAGTCTTATTTGCACATTTGTGAACAAAGATGTTTCATATAGTGTTTTAGCACAGTTCTGTCTGATGTCTTTTCAAGAGGGGATGGGTGAGAGAAAGAGAGAGAGAGAAAGAGCAGTTCAAAGCAGGGAAAAAATAAATCAAGTGTGTATGAATCTGGGGAGGGTCAATGGCAAGCAATTCAGCATATAAAGTTGTAAATCTTCACTCCCTCATTCGCTCCGTGTACCATAAGTCGTGACGTCACATCGTGCAGAGTGGGAGAGAGTGACAAGGCGGAGAACGTGATATTGCTATTGAGCTCCAGAGCAAAGTTGAGAGACGAACCCACCTTATTGTCCTGAGTGCCCGTCGAAACATCACACTGTACGTTAGAGGAGATCTGTGATCAAAGAATAGACTCCTTAAACCTTCTGCCTTTTATTCTGCCGCATGGAAAAATGAAGCCTGAGGGAAACCCGCTCTTGAAGGCATCAGCTGAACTCGGCAGCTCAATATTAAACGGTCGAAATAAACTAGCATATGCCAGATACAAGATACTAACTATCGTGCAAAAATGCCTCTACTTTTAAAAAAAATGTTGGTAAGGTGGCCCAAAGAAAATGAGAAGGATGACAACATTCCTCTTCTGTGTTTGTGTCTATTCCAGTGTATGCATACTCCTAGGTCAATGCAGTGAACATATAATATGAAGAGCGTCATCTCTGTTTCAAGGCTAGAGAACTGGTGACTTTGTTCTGGATTGTCTTTTCCTGAGTCCTTTGTTGAATGTATTTTCAAATGTTTTTTTCCACTTTCCCCCCCCCCCCCCACCGCTTTCTCTTTGTTTGCTGAAGGTTTACTGTGATTGCTGTGGGCAAAGTAAACACTACTCGAAAAGAAGGAGGGAATTTCTCCCAACGCCCTGACTGACAATCCCCCAGATAAAATTGATGCTTCAGTTTGGCTTTTTTGGGGCAAATTGGTTGCCGCATTTGCCTACAAAATACACAGTCTCTACACTTTTACAATAAATCGTATGAAGCGCTTTGGGGTGAAAGGCCCTGTGTCAACTGAAGGATTATTATTCTTAACAGGCAAAACTGCAACACAGGAGGTGATAATTAAGGACAAAAGTCAAGTTATTTCTGTGTTACTTCCACAAATCCATCATTAATCTTTCAATTATACCTGAAAGAGACTTATCCTGCATGAAACGTTATTGTAAATTGAAATTTGGCAATTTACATTCTTTTTAATGTCTGATGAGATCTTCTAAAACAAATATTTGGCATTCGTTTTTTTTTCGCGTGAAAAAAAAAGGTTCAATACTGGAAGTCAACTGGAGCCCATAAAGATTACCGGTTTGTTGATTCTGAATGTGAGGAAATTGACATTTAGCTAATTGGAAAAAGGGAATGCAGCGTAAAAAAATACTGGGATAAGCGGATAATCTCGCAGATGCTCCTAAATGACAGGGTAACTTCAGAGAATAAGGACAGATAAGGATACAGAATATTAATTGAAATGCTTCTTTTTTTAAAAGAAAAAGTTAATGTAAAAAGAAATCTTGAAAGAAAGAAAATGCATTGCTATTTCAAACATAGATTCAGACATAGATAAATGTGTTTGTCCTGCCTGGAGGGTCAGTTGCAGATATATGCCATTATTCCCTTTGACAGTAAGATCCTGGGCTGGAGAGGATATTTTAGGGAGCCCACAACAGGGGTTATCTGCAGAAGAAAGGAGAGGGGAACAAGTGAATGGGATTCCTCCTCACAGACAATTTCAGAGCAGCGTTTTAAGAGACTGACTTGAGGGAGTTGGGGTTTGTAAGTCATCTGAGCAGCTACTGCGTTGAGGAATCCTGGATGGTTCTATGCAGGAAGTTTGTGGAAAGGGGAAAATGCATTTCAAAATCTGAACAAATACTTTGGAAAGACAGTAGAGGTTTATTCGGTTTCAGAAGTCTATCCCTTCTGTGTTCTGTATCGTCTGTGTCTTCGATGTATGGCTCATCCTTGACCTCCAACCTTCATCCCAAACCCCTGCCTTTCTCACAGTGTAAATGCTGGATTTCCCAATGTTGTGAATATGAAGGGTCAAGATCCTCGTTGGTCAGTTTTTTTTTAAAAAAAACACACATTGTGAGAGGTTTGGCGTTGTGGGAATGTGGGGGCAGGGAGGAAGGGTGGGTGGGGTAGGGGAAGAAATGCAGTAAACTATTTAAAGAGAAGTTGTTTGTTTGTTATAATATATTGTGTACCTATTGTAAATATGAATCATTCCTATTTTGGAAGCCAGAAACAATTTGTACTGTTGTTGTATATAAATAAAGTTAACTTGATAAAATATTGGTTGATTCAACCTTCTGTGATATCTTCCACCCCCTCCCACCCCACCTTCCTGTGTTGAAGCAGAAACCCATTGGGTATATACAGCGTTTCCACACACAAAGGCCAACCAACGTAAGCGATTACAACATCGCAACGATGAGTGTTGGACGTGTTGATAATGGGAGCATCGCGGTAATGTTCGTACCTGTCCACACATGAACCCTTCTGTTAAAAGCAGAGCAGAGATGAGTGGCAGTACAGCAGGAGCAATGGGCTGTAATATGAGAGATTGAGTCGATTCCCGTCTAACTGAGATTAAAACAGAACTATATATGTAGATATATACATAGTACAGAACAAAGGAGAGAGGGGGAAATTGGTTTAAAAGAGCTGTTGATAAACTGAAGGAACAGGCTGACAAACCTCTAGTTCTTAGACTCCTAATTCATCTTAACTAGATCGGAGATTACATTTGGTACATTCTCGGTCTTAGTGTTTCATTCAGCGCATTTACACAAGGAAATTGT